ATTTGACTTGTTAAGCACATTTGAACTCCTGAACTTATTTAGGCTTGCCATAACAAAAGGGTTGAATACTTATTGACTCAAGACATTTCAGCTTTTCATTTTTTATTAATTTGTAAACATTTCGAAAAACATAATTCCACTTTGACATTATGGGGTGTTGTGTGTAGATCAGTGACACTTCTCAATTTCATCTATTTTAAATTCAGGCTGTAACACAAAATGTGGAAGAAGTCAAGGGATGTGAATACTTTCTGAAGGCAGTTTATTAGGTACACCCATCTAGTACCGGGTCGGACCCCCCTTTGCCTTCAGAACAGCCTGAATTATTCTGGGAATTCTACAAGGTGTCGGAAACATTCCACAGAGATGTTAGTCCATGCTGACGCGATGGCATCACGCAGTTGCTGCAGATTGGACGACGGTATATTGATGCTGCGAACAGCCCGTTCCATCTCATCCCATAGATGCTCTATTGGGTTGAGGTCTGGGGACTGCGCAGGCCACTCAAGTAAACTGAACGCACTGTCATGTTCCAGGCGATGTTTTAACACTCCTTTATAGTCCAGTGTTGGTGATCACGTGCCCACTGGAGCCGCTTCTTCTTGTTTTTAGCTGATAGGAGTGGAACCTGGTGTGGTCGTCTGCTGCAATAGCCCATCCGTGACAAGGACCAATGAGTTGTGCGTTCCGAGATGCCGTTCTGCACACCACTGTTGTACTGCGCCGCTATTTGTACTGCGCCATTTGTGGTCAGCCTGTTAGCTTGCACAATTCTTTCCATTCTCCCTCGACCTCTCATCAACAAGCTGTTTTAGCCCACAGGACTGCCGCTGACTGGATGTTTTTTTGTTTTTGCACCATTCTCGGTAAATCCTAGACACTGTTGTGCGTGAAAAGCCCAGGAGGGCGGCCGCTTCTGAGATACAGGATCCGGCACGCCTGGCACCGACGATCATACCACGCTCAAAGTCGCTTAGGTCAGTCGTTTTGCCCATTCTACCATTCAATTGAACAGCAGTTGAATGCCGCAATGCCTGTCTGCCTGCTTTATATAACAAGCCACGGCAACGTGCCTTGCTGTCTTGTCTGTAGGAGCAATCCATTTTCGTGAACAGGGTGGTGTACCTAATAAACTACACGGTGAGTGTATATGTACATACAGTGAGGGAAAAAAGTATTTGATCACCTGCTGATTTTGTACGTTTGCTTTTTAATGAGGGAAATAAGTATTTGACCCCTCTGCAAAACATGACTTAGTACTTGGTTGCAAAACCGTTGTTGGCAATTACAGAGGTCAGACGTTTCTTGTAGTTGGCCACCAGGTTTGCACACATCTCAGGAGGGATTTTGTCCCACTCTTTGCAGATCTTCTCCAAGTCATTAAGGTTTTGAGGCTGACGTTTGGCAACTCGAACCTTCAGCTCCCTCCACAGATTTTCTATGGGATTAAGGTCTGGAGACTGGCTAGGCCACTCCAGGACCTTAATGTGCTTCTTCTTGAGCCACTCCTTTGTTGACTTGGCCGTGTGTTTTGGGTCATTGTCATGCTGGAATACCCATCCACGACCCATTTTCAATGCCCTGGCTGAGGGAAGGAGGTTCTCACCCAAGATTTGACGGTACATGGCCCCGTCCATCGTCCATTTGATGCGGTGAAGTTGTCCTGTCCCCTTAGCAGAAAAACACCCCCAAAGCATAATATTTCCACCTCCATGTTGGACGGTGGGGATGGTGTTCTTGGGGTCATAGGCAGCATTCCTCCTCCTCCAAACACGGTGAGTTGAGTTGATGCCAAAGAGCTCGATTTTGGTCTCATCTGACCACAACACTTTCACCCAGTTCTCCTCTGAATCATTCAGATGTAGTTCTGGGCTGATTCCTCACCGTTCTCATGATCCTTGCAATTCCACGAGGTGAGATCTTGGATGGAGCCCCAGGCCGAGGGAGATTGACAGGTCTTTTGTGTTTCTTCCATTTGCGAATAATCGCACCAACTGTTGTCACCTTCTCACCAAGCTGCTTGGCGATGGTCTTGTAGCCCATTCCAGCCTTGTGTAGGTCTACAATCTTGTCCCTGACATCCTTGGAGAGCTCTTTGGTCTTGACCATGATGGAGAGTTTGGAATCTGATTGATTGATTGCTTCTGTGGACAGGTGTCTTTTATACAGGTAACAAACTGAGATTAGGAGCACTCCCTTTAAGAGTGTGCTCCTAATCTCAGCTCGTTACCTGTATAAAAGACACCTGGGAGCCAGAAATCTTTCTGATTGAGAGGGGGTCAAATACTTATTTCCCTCATTAAAATGCAAATCAATTTATAAAATTTTTGACATGTGTTTTTCTGGATTTTTGTTGTTGTTATTCTGTCTCTCACTGTTCAAATAAACCTACCATTAAAATTAGAGACTGATCATTTCTTTGTCAGTGGGCAAACATACAAAATCAGCAGGGGATCAAATTATTTTCCCCCTCACTGTAGCTACCTCAATTACCCCTGTACATCAACTTGGTACTGGTACTCCCTGTACTGTACATAGCCATGTTATTTTCTACTTCCTGTATATAGCCATGTTATTTTCTACTTTCTGTATATAGCAATGTAATTTTTTACTCGTTATTGTTATTAGTTATTCACTGTGTATTTATTCCTCGTGTCACTATTTCTACATTTTTATTTAAATGTTTTTTCTTTTACTCTGCATTGTTGGAAAAGGACCCGTAAGTAAGCATTTCACTGTTAGTCTACACCTGTTGTTTACAAAGCATGTGGCTAATAAAATTTGATTTGATTAGATTTTTTGAGTGCTTGCGCCTAAGCACTTTATTCCATCCAAGTGAAAAGGTTGTTTGTAATGATTCTAGTGAGAGCTCCGTGAGTATCTTCTTTTAAAAGGTTGGTGGTGGAGATTTGGCATCGAGAGGGTCTGCTATAATTTTGGAGAGGTAATGATAAGGAAGTTAATGAACCATTTAACATGGGAAAGTAGGCTACCTACCGGTATTGTAGATATTATTTCCTGGGTTGGTTTGGTCATTTGCATAGATATCTGTTGGGATGAGTCTGAATCGAAGCACGTAAAGCCCCATAAGCCTCTGTTTTAGGGTCCTGTGGATTTTAGCCATCTGTTTTTATTTATATATTTTTCCTACATCCTCCTCCCTAGTGGAGCGGCTAAGCCTCCCTCCACTGATGATGTCACAGACAGTGCCCCGCCCTGACCTCCCTCCCCGCCCAGTGCCTGGTCATGTGTCCAGTTCGGGTCCACTTAACCAGTCTCTCTCTCCTCAGATATCCACTTAAGATGGATGAGATGGGCCTAATGTTCAGACTGGGAGCAGGCTGGGGCTGCCTTAATAATCTTATTTTCATCTCCTTTCCTTCACCTGCACTAATCTGAAAACACAGGATAGGTAGAAGGGAAGCAGTATTAGTTCTGCTCAGTTTGGAGGAAGGAGGGGAGATTATGAAAAAGATGTACTTTAGACTACTGATATGCATCGCCACCCTGACAGCTGGCTGTCTGAGAGTAGGCTGGTGCTGGGTGGAGGAGAGCTGTTGAGTAGGCTGGGAGTAGGCTGGTGCTGGGTGGAGGAGAGCTGTTGAGTAGGCTGGGAGTAGGCTGGTGCTGGGAGGAGGAGAGCTGTTGAGTAGGCTGGTGCTGGGTGGATGAAAGGTGTTGAGTAGGGATGTGACAAATATAAACGTTTTCTTCATGTTTAAACTGCAATTTGTTTTATCGGTTTTCCCTTATCATAACATTCTATATGAATTCACAATGCAGCTGTACTGCTGCCAGAAACGGTTTGGGTCTCTTGCTTGCATTTCTCTACCATTTTCCCAACTGTTAACGACGATGACGTAATTGTGGAGAGTCGACTCCAAAATATTTGATTCATCAACTCCTTGCACGTCAACTCCCATTTCTGAGTGTCAAGATTCGATTCCGCTAGTAATCGACTCCTAAGATTCAGTATTTTTGGAACAGTACTTCCGAGAACATAAACACTCGCTAGCTCGGGGAAGGGCACAGTATAGGCAGGTCGGTCACCAGGCACACAGTCAGAACCGTGCACTAGGCCTTGTAGCAATCAAAAGCTGTATCTCGCAATTTCTTGGCTTGCAATGTCTCACAACTTCAGTAAAGTAGGGCCTATCATCAATGAATAGGCTAGGATATTCTACACGCAACAGACCGAAGACTGAACACACACTCGCATCATTAGCGAGGAGAAAGAGCAGGCGAGCCAGCGCGACGGAGAGAGAGGATGGGGCATTCAGAAAGAACCGTCCTCATATGTCTTGGTAATCTGTATCTCACAATGTCTTGTCTTGCATGCCTCACGTTCTTGCCTCTTCCTCACTGGTTTTATTTAAATTACACAACTTTCCCCAGGGCTATATAGCCTATTGTCTAGTTAGGCTATAACATGGAAAATAAAATCACTGCACTGTGATTAACATTTTTCTTAACGTTAAGGATCCCAATTTCATTTTAACATTTAAACAGGAGGAGGCTGGTGCTGGGTGGATGAGGTGTGTGGAGGAGGCTAATGCTGGCCTGGGTGGCTGATGTGTCTAGGGCCCTATAAAATCGGTTATTTTTTTCCTGCTTCCGTTTAGTTTTTTCCCAAATTCTATTTTCTCCATTTAGTTTTTCCTCTTCCTAGCTACATTTGTTCATAAGTACATAATGCCCTTGCATCATCATCGTGGAGGAAGGATGTTGTGTTAAGCCGATGATGATTACATTTTAGGTTCTTAGCTCTACATGGTGGCTAAGCCTGAGGGATCTTAGGATGTTCTAGTAAGCGTGGATGCATCGCTGAGTTGTCTCATGGAATCTATCAAAAGGCCTATACTGTTTCACATACAACATTATATTATTGTTTTTCAACCATTTGTCACCATAATCTTGAGACGTTGATCCACCTATTGAATATGTTAATAACCACTAATTGTTATCCATTACTAATGGGGTTATTTTTTTTTCTTTTTCAGGAACCGATAAAGTCCCGGGCTCCACAGCTTCACTTGGAATATAGATTTTATAAACAGTTGGGAAGTTCAGGTAAGCACATACAGCTACAGTATTATAACTGTTTAATAGCACTGTGTTAGCTAGTAGGCTCAGCTGGATGGATGGAGATCTTCTCTGCACACGTAGCTGGGAGATGTGAAAGCCCTGTCCCCCTCCTACAGATGGTTGGTCGATAGCAGGCCCAGGCCAATCATGCCATAGCTATGTGCTCTCTCTGTGCTGTGATCCGTGGGGCTGTGCTGTGCTGTACCTCCAGCCCTTTGATGTGGCCGCTTGGCTTCAGAGGGGAGAGGTGGGGCAGTAGGATCAGGTGGTGGGGAGGGACAGGGACCTGGAACAGGCCACAGCACAGCTTGGCCAGCCTGGCATGCTTAGTGTTTGATCCTCTCACTGCTTAATTCTTTCATTGAAAAATATGTCTCTGACATTAGACCACTGCTTTTTTTAGCCAAAGTGATGAGTACTGTACTTTTCATCATTAGTTAGTTCAAGTCACTTTCTATGAGCGTTTGATCTGTTAAGAAAACAACTGGTGAATATATTGTATTTATGGTACATAAATAGATTGTATTGTATTTGAGGGTAGGTAGGGACAAGCTGACCACTTGTATTCTAATTACACTAAATGTGACTGAGGACACTCGTCTTTGATCCTTTTGGCTTTTAAATGAAAAAGATGAACAGCTTGGGCAAAGCCTGTGCATCCATTTGATCACTGGAGTGGAAGGCCACACACACGCACTCTAAGACGAGTGTGTGTGTGTGTGTGTGTGTATGTCACTGCGCCCAGTGATGTTCTCTTTCATAAGACAAGTGTGTGTCTCTTTCTCTCTCGTAGAGAGCTGATCACCTGCCAGCTTGCTCTCTGTCCCTGTGCCAGAGCAACAGCTCCACAGTGTTAATAGGGAGTTGGAGCTCAGGGCATTAGAGGTGGCCTAGGCTAGTCTATTTATAGATGGCCTTCAATGTGCAGTAGGGCCATTATCATATATCTACTTCCATCGCTCGTCTCGGCAATGCCTCTGCCTGCCTGAAGAAGAAAGCCCAGGGAAACTCTCCCATGATGTACAGGGAAAAGGGCTGGCCTATCTCTGTCTGTCAGCTATCCTTTGTTGTGATCTAACTGACTGGGCCAGTAGTTGTATTCCCAATCCCAGGCAGCACAGCATAGCACAATGTAGTATTTAGCTGCCTTACACCTATTTGGGAACAGAGTCGATTGAAGTCGCTTGTGGATCCTCATCCATTCATTGAATAGTGAGTCTTTATCCCCACTCCTTGGGCCAGCCCGTTGAAGGAGTCCAGGCAGCAGCCCCTCTGTAGTGTTTCCACTGATGCGTTATACACATCCTGACTTCCCTCTTCTGGCCACTGTGGCAGAGGGACCACCAGAGAAAGGCCTGCTACAATCTCATAGGCTAAGCTAAATATGGAGCCAGTGACAATGTTGGTCCAGCTTCCCTCCCATTATAGAATGGAGGGGGAAAAGTGTTCCTCTTACTGGTTGCTACATCCATTGAAAAATGAATGTGTGGAGTAGTGAGGAATTATCAAAGTCTTCTTTCTGCTGCTGATTCTTCTGTAAAAATTATTCTGAATGGTACCGATGGATACAGGCATGTAGTCCTTTTACAATATGAATGTGACATAACGTAAGCCAGGGTCAAGCCCTGGTCTGAACCTGGACTCCACGGCCACAAATACTGGAGCGGTGTCAGCTGTACATGGTGCTTAAGAGGAGCTTATCTAAAGAGTGTTAATTCTCTCCTGCCCTGGAAAGCACCCAATCACTAGAACAACACATTCAGTTACACACACTAGCTGGCCTGGCCACGCCCCAACCCCACCATTAACCACTGAGCATGGAGTGTCTAACTGAGACATCATCCACTTTTTATGTCACTATCAATAATTTAAATGAATGACTGGTTGACTGAGCTCACACAGTCCTGATAGCATGTTCTTCTCTTATGAAAGCACTGCACGTGACCTGTCTCCTTATGAGATAATTAAAATGTCACTGATAATATCAGTGCATGTGAATATTTAGTAACCCATCATCAAGGCTTTGCCTTAAAGCATTACCTGCTCTTACACAAGTTGTGTGTGTGTGTGTGTGTGTGTCCTTATACCATGCCCACAGCCCTGGTATCTTGGGAGTGATAAATCAATCAGAGTTTGAAGTGATCGTCTGTGGTCCATCCAGTCCTGAGCAGTCTGGATATTTCATGCGCTGCCTGCCTGGGATGGATAACATAACCTACCACTGAGTCACGCAGGCTCTATGCAGGGCAGGCCGGCTGGACGATCACGTTTCAGCCCGGCTACATCGCCACAGCGCTGACCGCCCGCCCGGCCTAATGGAATCAGCGCTTTCTTTTCTCTCCCCGATGCACTCGGCATTCTAAATGTTTAATTGAGACCGCCTCCCTCTCGGGCTCGGCCTAAACTTTGACATTTCATTGTAGGGCAACGTTGTCTGCCACAGTGTCCAGACTGAGAGGGGCCCCTGTCTTAGACAATACTCTGGATTGTTCTCGACACATTTCACTTGTGTTTGGAGAGAGTGGGTCGTGAGCAGTGCACAGAATGGCACTGGAAGGCAGCAGAATAGACTTTGAAGATATTGGTGCTGCGGACAGCAGCCAATTATATCTGTTGTCATAAATCACGATAAAGAATTGTTTCTAGGAAACCACTCGCCCCTTGCAAAAGTGCTTTTATTACAGGCGTGATTGGCGAGGGTTATTTTTACACCGGAATAACATCATCCACATAATATTTAGCAAATATGATTAGGTCTAGCTTTAGTAAAGGATAAAATCATTATCTTTTTCAATGGTTTCTCTGAAATGGACATTTATTCTTTCCATTTCAGTTAAAGCTTTTCCCCAGCTGTTATCCTTGTTTTGTTTACAGCTCTAGAGTTCCCCAGTAGGGAGTACTGTAGGTGTAGTCAGGGACAGTTGTTCTAGCGTAGCCACTTTCCTGTTGATTAATGCATTGGTCGGGCTGCTGAATGCCCTCCCTCCAGATTTGGGCAGGCTTTGATGAGTCAGCTTCCTTGTTGATCTCTTGTAGCTGCCGCCTTGTCCGCCATCACCATCATTACCAGGTAAATCCTGCTGTCTAAAGCGCCCCGGGACAGCTGTGTGGCTGTGTGAGATCTGCACTGCTTTGCTGTGGGAGTGACATGAGGGGTGATCAGGTAAATCCTGCTCTAATCCCTCCCCTCCTCCTCACACACACACACAGCCTCCAGGCCAGCCTGCAGTACCACTAAAGCTGCTGATCCTCTCCTCTCTCTGACGGGGTTGGGGTGCCCTCGGGGCGACAGCCGCCTGCCGGGAGGGGAGCATGCAGTCACTTTGGCACAACTGCCAGCCAAGGAATGGAATGAAGGCCACTGGCGTCAGATACTGATCTGAACTGGTGAGGCATAACCTGGAGCTGTATGTATCCTTGGCGGCTGGACCATAAGGTCATGGTGGCCATGGGGTCACAAATGGCCATTGCCCTTTGTTCTATTCCACATTGGGAAAATAGTTACTGTTAAACTGGAAGTCTCCTCTTCAGAGAGAATTTTTACTGTGATGATAAACTCCTAAATTCCTCCTAGGTCACACATACTACATTACCAAAAGTATGTGGACACCTGCTCGTCGAACATCTCATTCCAAAATCAAAATCCTGGGCATTAATATGGAGTTGGTCCCCCTTTGCTGCTATAACAGCCTCCAGCCTCCACCAAACTTTACAGTTGGCACTATGCATTCGGGCAGGTAGCGTTCTCCTGGCATTCACCAAACCCAGATTTGTCCATTGGACTGCCAGATGGTGAAGCGTGATTCATCACTCCAGAGAACACGTTTCCACTGCTCCAGAGTTCAATGGCGGCGAGCTTTACACCACTCCTGCCGACGCTTGGCACTGTGCATGGTGATCTTAGGCTTGTGTGTGGCTGCTCGGCAATGGAAACTCATTTCATGAAGCTCCCAACGAACAGCTCTTGTGCTGACGTTGCTTCCAGAGGCAGTTTGGAACTCGGTAGTGAGTGTTGCAACCAAGGACAGACGATTTTTGATGAACTGACTTGTCGGAAAGGTGGCATCCTATGGCGGTGCCAAGTTGAAAGTCACTGAGCTCTTCAGAAAGGCCATTCTACTGCCAATGTTTATCTATGGAGATTGCATGGCTGTGTGCTCGATTTTATACACCTGTCAGCAGCAGGTGTGGCTGAAATAGCCGAATCCACTAATTTTAAGGGGTGTCCATATACTTTTGTATATATAGTGTATGACCACATGACAGAGTGTGTTGGCAAACAGTTTTTTCCAACACAAGGCATCAACGTTGACACGTTTTTGTTTACCATCCATGTTGTTCTAATCTAAACCGCCTTCCCACACACGTAGGCTGCTCAATATCAACATGCCTCTGTAGCCTGATTCATGTCAGCAAATCAAAGCCCTAGTACCCTTCTTTAGCTACCACCTTTCATGCATCCATAGTCCCTCAGCCTCTAAGGTTTTTTAGAAGGGACTAATGCTTTTAATGCTTTTAGAATATCTGTGTCTCTTATGATGCTAAAACAGATGGTTAGTAACTAAAGCCTTTTTAAACCTTTAGGATACTAGCATGCTCCCGGTAAATTGTGTGGTCCCGCTCATATATCATGAGTCCATGCCTGTCTCTGTGTTGCAGAGGGTATTCCTCAGGTGTACTACTTTGGGCCGTGTGGGAAGTACAATGCCATGGTGCTGGAGCTGCTAGGGCCCAGCCTGGAAGACCTGTTTGATCTCTGCGACCGCACCTTCTCCCTCAAGACTGTCCTCATGATAGCCATACAGCTGGTAAGATTTTAATTGTTGTTTTACGTAAGTGTCTTACACACAGGTGCCCAACCCATAGTTTATAAGACTACTCTATGATGTCAGTTATCTCTATAGTCTATAGATGTGTTGATGGCTCATAAAGGTTTACAGTGTTTGCATTTGAAAAGTGCACTGAGAGAGTTTGAGATCTTAGCTTGTCTACATGCTCTGTGCTCTGCCTCCCAGATAACGCGGATGGAGTTTGTCCACACGAAGAGCTTGATATACAGGGACGTCAAGCCAGAAAACTTTTTGGTGGGGCGGCCGGGCAGCAAGAGGCAGCACACAATCCACATTATCGACTTCGGGCTGGCCAAAGAATACATCGACCCAGAGACCAAAAAACACATCCCTTACCGGGAGCACAAGAGCCTGACAGGCACGGCACGCTACATGAGCATCAACACACACCTGGGGAAGGGTGAGAAATAATAATGAAGACACATGCTGCTGTGTTATTGGAAAGATGGACCTTTTCTTTCCTAATCCTGTGAACCTGTCCTGGGCTGAAGTTGATTAGCAAGTTTTCCATTATGTTCAGTAAGGGCCGAATCCCAACTTGAGATCTGTACACATATCTGTACACATAACTTCCATAATGTAGATAGATCATGCATTGATTAATGCATTTGAGGTTTTCACATTAGGACATCAGCCTTATGGTGTCATATATAGTGGTGGATAACTGTGTGAGTAACAAACTCTTCTTCTGCTCTCATCCAGAGCAAAGCAGGCGGGATGATCTGGAGGCTCTGGGTCACATGTTTATGTACTTCCTGCGAGGCAGCCTTCCCTGGCAAGGCCTGAAGGTATACAGTTTCATGATATCTACATGACCTCAGACACACATACCCTGTCGCTTAGCCCCCCAGCGCAAAGTAACTTATTTCATTCAAGACCCAAGTGACATTTCAAGGCCTCAGACTCTAGAAAGTGTTTACAGTATTTAGGGAAGAGGAAGACATGCTAGGGGAAAATACTATGTAAATAGTGTTGTAACCAAACACAGAAAGGATTTTCACCTCTGAGATTTTAATCGTCTCTGTGTAGTTGGATTAATAATGGAAAAAAATATTCATGAAATACGATTCTACATTTTCTGTTTTATTTCTATCATTGTGCAATCTATACCGGATACCACCGTTTAGCTCATACCTTTTGGTCTCTGCAGTTTTTAATAGATGTAAATGGCATCTTATTATATCAACATAAGTCACTCCCACACTTTCCCCTTTGAGGTCCTCTCCACCCAGGCTAGTGTCAAGAAGAGGTCCTGTGTGGCAGTGTATAGCTAGCAAACTGTAGAATATCATGGTAGAACTTCATAACAGCTTCATATCGATGGGATGACTCAAGATATAAAATGGCTTACAAGAGGATTTGGATGTGGATGCGAACTAAGACACTTTAATGTTCTACATGTGTGAACATTATTCCCATTCAATTACACTACCTCCAGCTATGTATTACCCCAAACTTGGTATTATATTGTGCATTCTGCAAAGCTGTAGTTTTTCGACTCTACTGTGCTGTGTGGGAATTAAAGCTAAATACGTAGGAGAATAATTGTTGTACTGTCTGTTGATTCCAGGCGGACACGTTGAAGGAGAGGTATCAGAAGATTGGAGATACCAAGCGAGCTACGCCAATTGAAGTGCTTTGTGAAAGCTTCCCCGGTCAGTACCACCATTTTGATTTGATTGGTTTCATTTGGAATTTCCATTACTCCTTTTTGTTTAGGTCTAGTTCTAGATCAGTTTATGCAAATGAAATAATTGTGTGCCTTTGTCCTTTGCTGCAGAAGAGATGGCCACCTATCTGCGCTACGTGAGGAGGCTGGACTTCTTTGAGAAACCTGATTACGACTACTTACGGAAACTCTTCACTGACCTCTTCGATAGGAACGGCTACGTCTTTGATTATGAATACGACTGGGTCGGCAAGCCACTCGTGAGTCTCCTTCATCACTTGCTTCTTCTCCCTATTCAAAGTTTTTAGTGGACCACTTGACCCCTCTATCTGAAGATTTTCATTTGTCTATTTCTGTAAATAATCAGACTGTATCAAAATTGAGATTTCCTGTGATGTCTCAGTGGTTCAAGGGCCTATTTCTTCCCGTGTCATATTCATATCTTCATGTTGTGGTCGGTGTAAAGTATTTTCCCCCACGATTTTTATGTCCTAGATAAAATGCTGTGTCATTCTGTTCCCAACCATAGCCCACACCGATAGGCCCTATCCCCAGTGACACACCCGCTCAGCCCAGCAGAGACAAAGCACAACAGCAGACCAAAAACCAGGTGAGCTTACCGCCGCCTGCCACACCCACCCACCCACCTCGTCAGTCAAGTTCCCCCTTGTCTCAGAGGCAACTGCCAAACCTCCTGTCCTACTCTCAGCTTCCTCAGGAATATGGCCTCTTTTACAATGTTACCTTTATTCTCTCCAACTCTTCAAATTACTCTTTACTCTGTTGTTGCTATTGAACAAGAATGATTGGGAACTGATGACCCTATTATAATTGTAGTTAAATGTTGTAGCATCATCTTTGAAAGTTGAACTGTTTTAGAGTTGGAGGGTTTTGTCTTCAACCTTCCTCCTTAAGAACTAGTCATTGCATTGCAAAATGCAGTGCATTGTTCACATCAGCAATGACAAAGCTGTTTGCTTAATGTGTGGCAAAATTGCATGCCTTCTTTTCCTTTGCTTGTTCTATCAGCATGCTATTTGAGCCTTGATCCTACTACACTGTCATAAACATGACACATCAACCTTTTTAGACTTTATTAGCCTTTTTCAATATTTTTCTCTAAGGCAAAGCGCATAAGGTTTTATAATTGCCCTTTGCTGTGTACTCGCGGCTGTAATTATGGCTCTCCAGTACAATGTAATGAGTATCATCATTTATGAACATAAACAGGCAACACGTTGCATAGTACAAACAATCACAGAGTTTATTGCAGAAACCAGGAATAGAGTCACAACAATGATTAGCTAATTCAGTCAGACCAATAGACAGGAGACTGCTGCGGGCTGGAAGAAAATATAGATTTTGGAATAAAAGACAAGATGCTTAGTGTTTCCGATCAAGGCTGTTTTCACTCCTGCATGAATCAGTGGGCTCTGCTTTGTTTTGCTCTATTTTCCTTCTGTTAACATAGTCTGTTTTAACAAGCTTCTTCTTGTGAGATGTCTTTTGTGTTTATTTTCGTTTGTTGGTTTTTGTTGACTTTTTTTCCCCCATTCACTCCCCGTTCCCACTTTCCCATCACCACCACACTACCTTCCACCTCTTCACTCCTGACCCCCATAACCCGCTTCCCCTCCCCCCTGTGCTCTTTGCGTCAGTCTCCTGAGCCCAAAGGAGATGAGTCTCAGCGTCAGCCCTCTCCAATGACCAATAAGGAGACACTGGGGTCGCATCTCACGGCCGAAAGGCTGGGAGGCTCTGTCCAGGTACTGCTTGCTGCGCATGGTGCTGCATGACCGTCTGTCCACCCCAGCTTTCTCTCTCTCTGCCTCTCTCTCTATGTATCTATCTATCTATCTGTCAGTCTACAGTTGAAGTCGGAAGTTTACATACACCTTAGCTAAATACATTTAAACTCAGTTTTTCACAATTCCTGACATTTAATCCTAGTAAGAATTCCCTGTCTAGGTCAGTTAGGATAACAATTTATTTTAAGAATGTGAAATGTCAGAATAATAGTAGAGAGAATAATTTATTACAGCTTTTATTTCTTTCATCACATTCCCAGTGGGTCAGAAGTTTACATATACTCAATTAGTATTTGGTAGCATTGCCTTTAAATTGTTGAACTTGGGTCAAACGTTTCGGGTAGCCTTCCACAAGCTTCCCACAATAAGTTGGGTGAATTTTGGCCCATTCCTCCTGACAGAGCTGGTGTAACTGAGTCAGGTTTGTAGGCATCCTTGCTCGCACACGCCTTTTCAGTTCTGCACACACATTTTCTATAGGATTGAGGTCAGGGCTTTGTGATGGCCACTCCAATACCTTGACTTTGTTGTCCTTAAGCCATTTTGCCACAACTTTGGAAGTATGCTTGGGGTCATTGTTCATTTGGAAGACCCATTTGCGACCAAGCTTTAACTTCCTGACTGATGTCTTGAGATGTTGCTTCAATATATCCACATAATATTCTTTCCTCATGATGCCATCTATTTTGTGAAGTGCACAAGGCCCTCCTGCAGCAAAGCACCCCCACAGCATGATGCTGCCACCCCAGTGCTTCACGGTTGGGATGGTGTTCTTTGGCTTGCAAGCACCCCCTTTTTCCTCCAAAAATAATGATGGTCATTATGGCCAAACAGTTCTATTTTTATTTCATCAGACCAGAGGACATTTCTCCAAAAAGTACGATCTTTGTCTCCATGTGCAGTTGCAAACCGTAGTCTTGCTTTTTTATGGCGGTTTTGGAACAGTGGCTTCTTCCTTGCTGAGCGGCCTTTCAGGTTATGTCGATATAGGACTTGTTTTACTGTGGATATAGATACATTTGTACCTGTTTCCTCCAGCATCTTCACAAGGTCCTTTGCTGTTGTTCTGGGATTGATTTGCACTTTTCTCACCAAAGTACGTTAATCTCTAGGAGACAGAACGTGTCTCCTTCCTGAGCGGTATGACGGCTGCGTGGTCCCATGGTGTTTATACTTGTGTACTATTGTTTGTACAGATGAACGTGGTACCTTCAGGCATTTGGAAATTGCTCCCAAGGATGAACCAGTCTTGTGGAGGTCTACAATTTTTTTTCTGAGGTCTTGGCTGGTTTCTTTTGATTTTCCCATGATGTCAAGCAAAGAGGCACTGGGTTTGAAGGTAGGCCTTGAAATACATCCACAGGTACACCTCCAATTGACTCAAATGATGTCAATTAGCCTATCAGAAGCTTCTAAAGCCATGACATCATTTTCTGGAATTTTCCAAGCTGTTTAAAGGCACAGTCAACTGATATTGGACCATAAACAGATATGACTCATTAACCTTTACGAACCAAATAATGATGATCCACACTTCTTTGACAATATATATAATAAATTATCAACTCTGCAAGCAATTCAAGACTCTATTATTATGGTGGGAGATTATAATACCGTTTTAAATAGCTCAATGGAGCGTAAAGGAAATCACACTACAAACAATCACCCTCATGCTCTTAAGGAAATCGTGAATGTCATGGATACATTAGAACTAGTAGATATATGGAGGCTTAAATATCCTGATCTAGTGAGATATACATGGCGGAGACTCAAATCAAGCTAGTCGTCTTGACTTCTTTCTTATGTCATTCTCGTTGGCACCAAAAGTTTAAAAAGTGTTGATAGGGGACAGAATGTGGTCGGACCATCATATTATTGGCATATACCTTACTCTTACTGAATTTCCATGTGGGCGAGGATATTGGAAATTTAATCAAAGCCTATTGGATGATAACTTGTTTTTAACTAGGACAGAGGAATTTATAACTGATTTTTTACGACATAACATAGGTACAGCAAATCCCCTTATTGTATGGGACACCTTTAAATGTGCCTTTAGAGGCCATGCAATTCAGTACTCATCTCGAAAACAAAAGCAATTTAGGTCAAAAGAGACCACACTAACAAAGGAAATAGAAGGTCTAACAGAACAGATAGATAGCAATAAAAACTATAACATAGAGGCTCAGAATAAATTAGAGGAAAAACAAAAAGAAATTGAGAAAATTATTCAAGAAAGATCAAGTGTAATATATTATCAAAATAAAGCAAACTGGATGGAATATGGGGAGAAATGCACCAAATTCTGTTTTTAATCTTCAACATAGGAATGCTACCAAAAATAATTTATTGAAACTGGTTACAAATGACGGAGTCACCCATGATTCACCAAATTATATTTTGAAGGAGGAAACAAAAGTACTTTAAGCATATGTTTTTATACAGAAATTATTAAATATTAAAGCATTAGACCTATCACTAAAAGCTTCAGTCATACAAAAGTTATACTTAAATCCGAACTGGTTCTCTAGCAAATTAGTAAGATTGTCTCACCCAATGTTCAAGAATGGCCTTTTTCCCTTTATTCAGATTACAACCTCTCACTTTCAGTTATTTGAAAAGGAAATAATCTCCCAAATATCACTATTTCTAAAACAAGCCATAGAAAGTTGGTTGCGATTTCAATTTAATCCTCCAGAAACGACAGAACAAATAATGCAACAACTATTGTGGTTAAACTCAACTATACTAATTGATAAAAAACATTATTTTTTGAAATAATCTTTAAAAAATGAATAATCTTCGTAAATGATATCATAGGTAGGTCGGGTGGAGTTATGTCGCACATGCAGCTAACAAAAACATGGAAATTGCTGCTCTACCCAAAATTACAACCAAATAATTGCAGCATTACCGCAAAAATGGAAAAGGAAAGTGGAAGGGTGAAAAAGTAAGGAACTTGTCTGTCGGCCTTGCATTAAAGAATATAATTGGTTAAAGAAAATTGTGATAAATAAAAAAGTATACCAGTTTCATTTAAGGACCAAAGGATTGACAGCCATCCCATATAGATTGCAAAATAGTTGGGAAGAGATTTTTGACGTACCGATTCCATGGCATAGTGTTTATGAATTGATACGCAAAACGACGCCGGATTCAAAACTTTGAATTTTTCAATTAAAATTATTATATAAAATTCTTGCTACCAATAGAATGTTATTTATATGGAGGATACAATCTTCCTAGCTCTGCAGATTTTGCTGCGAAGAGACAGAATCATTAGATCATTTGTTTTGGTACTGTCCATTTGTAGCTTGTTTTTGGACTCAGGTCCAGGAATGGCTAAAGGATTGCAATATTTACCTAGAGCTAACCCTGCAGATAGCACTACTGGGTGATCTGAAAAGTAATAGTCAATCGATCAATAATATAATAATACTTTTAGCAAAAATGTTTATTTTCAATTTACGATCTGTAGAAACAATGAGAATAGAAAGGTTCAGAACTTTTGTAAAACATCACAGTACAGTTGAAAAATATATGGCAAATAGAAATCCAATATGGATGGTGTTAAGAGATAGATGGGAGGTGTTGAATGGAGCTGAAGGAAAGGACTAATAACAACAACTAATAACAACAAGATAACTAATGTAAAGCATACTGTGTCCATAATAAGTATATACGTTATAGGTTGAGAGCTTTTGTGAAAGAGCACAGTTAGAAAAATATGGCATATAGAAGCAAACCAGATGGACATCATGAAAATGATTGGAGGAAGTTCAGGAGTAAAAACAAACAAAATATAATTATTGTTGAATTTGACTGTGTCCATAAAATGTATATAGTATGTATGGGCTGGAAGTAGAGGCCTAAGCGTTGGTGTTCACTCCTTTACTCCAATTGGGGAAGGGGTGGTGGGGTTGGAAAGTAATTAAAGGAATTTTAATTTTAAAAAGTATATGTGTGTGTGTATGGATGTATGTATATATGTATGTACAGTGGGGAGAACAAGTATTTGATACACTGCCGATTTTGCAGGTTTTCCTACTTACAAACAACGTAGAGGTCTGTAATTTTTATCATAGGTACACTTCAACTGTGAGAGACGGAATCTAAAACAAAAATCTAGAAAATCACATTGTATGATTTTTAAGTAATTAATTTGCATTTTATTGCATGACATAAGTATTTGATACATCAGAAAAGCAGAACTTAATATTTGGTACAGAAACCTTTGTTTGCAATTACAGAGATCATACGTTTCCTGTAGGCTCTGTCGCAGCCGGCCGCGACCGGGAGACTCATGGGCGGCGCACAATTGGCCCAGCGTCGTCTAGGGTAGGGGAGGGAATGGCCGGCAGGGATGTAGCTCAGTTGATAGAGCATGGCGTTTGCAACGCCAGGGTTGTGGGTTTGTTTCCCACGGGGGGCCAGTATAAAAAAATAATAATAATGTAATCACTAACTGTAAGTCGCTCTGGATAAGAGCGTCTGCTAAATGACTAAAATGTAAATGTAAATGTCTTGACCAGGTTTGCACACACTGCAGCAGGGATTTTGGCCCACTCCTCCATACAGACCTTCTCCAGATCTTTCAGGTTTCGGGGCTGTAACTGGGCGCTGCAGGATTTTAATCCATGACGGCGTAGTGTGTTACTAATGGTTTTCTTTGAGACTGTGGTCCCAGCTCTCTTCAGGTCATTAATGTGATTTTCTGGATTTTTGTTTAAGATTCCGTCTCTCACAGTTGAAGTGTACATATGCTAAAAATTACAGACCTCTACATGCTTTGTAAGTAGGAAAACCTGCAAAATCGGCAGTGTATCAAATACTTGTTCTCCCCACTGTATGTGATGATATACACATACATACAGTGGGGGGAAAAAAGTATTTAGTCAGCCACCAATTGTGCAAGTTTTCCTACTTAAAAAGATGAGAGAGGCCTGTAATTTTCATCATAGGTACACGTCAACTATGACAGACAAAATGAGAGAAAAAAATCAAGAAAATCACATTGTAGGATTTTTTATGAATTTATTTGCAAATTATGGTGGAAAATAAGTATTTGGTCAATAACAAAAGTTTCTCAATACTTTGTTATATACCCTTTGTTGGCAATGACACAGGTCAAACGTTTTCTGTAAGTCTTCACAAGGTTTTCACACACTGTTGCTGGTATTTTGGCCCATTCCTCCATGCAGATCTCCTCTAGAGCAGTGATGTTTTGTGGCTGTCGCTGGGCAACACGGACTTTCAACTCCCTCCAAAGATTTTCTATGGGGTTGAGATCTGGAGACTGGCTAGGCCACTCCAGGACCTTGAAATGCTTCTTACGAAGCCACTCCTTCGTTGCCCGGGCAGTGTGTTTGGGATCATTGTCATGCTGAAAGACCCAGCCACGTTTCATCTTCAATGCCCTTGCTGATGGAAGGAGGTTTTCACTCAAAATCTCACGATACATGGCCCCATTCATTCTTTCCTTTACACGGATCAGTCGTCCTGGTCCCTTTGCAGAAAAACAGCCCCAAAGCATGATGTTTCCACCCCCATGCTTCACAGTAGGTATGGTGTTCTTCGGATGCAACTCAGCATTCTTTGTCCTCCAAACACGACGAGTTGAGTTTTTACCAAAAAGTTCTATTTTGGTTTCATCTGACCATATGACATTCTCCCAATCCTCTTCTGGATCATCCAAATGCACTCTAGCAAACTTCAGACGGGCCTGGACATGTACTGGCTTAAGCAGGGGGACACGTCTGGCACTGCAGGATTTGAGTCCCTGGCGGCGTAGTGTGTTACTGATGGTAGGCTTTGTTACTTTGGTCCCAGCTCTCTGCAGGTCATTCACTAGGTCCCCCCGTGTGGTTCTGGGATTTTTGCTCACCGTTCTTGTGATCATTTTGACCCCACGGGGTGAGATCTTGCGTGGAGCCCCAGATCGAGGGAGATTATCAGTGGTCTTGTATGTCTTCCATTTCCTAATAGTTGCTCCCACAGTTGATTTCTTCAAACCAAGCTGCTTACCTATTGCAGATTCAGTCTTCCCAGCCTGGTGCAGGTCTACAATCAATTTTGTTTCTGGTGTCCTTTGACAGCTCTTTGGTCTTGGCCATAGTGGAGTTTGGAGTGTGACTGTTTGAGGTTGTGGACAGGTGTCTTTTATACTGATAACAAGTTCAAACAGGTGCCATTAATACAGGTAACGAGTGGAGGACAGAGGAGCCTCTTAAAGAAGAAGTTACAGGTCTGTGAGAGCCAGAAATCTTGCTTGTTTGTAGGTGACCAAATACTTATTTTCCACCATAATTTGCAAATAAATTCATTAAAAATCCTGCAATGTGATTTTCTGGATTTTTTTTCCTCAATTTGTCTGTCATAGTTGACGTGTACCTATGATGAAAATTACAGGCCTCTCTCATCTTTTTAAGTGGGAGAACTTGCACAATTGGTGGCTGACTAAATACTTTTTTTCCCCACTGTAAGTATTTGATCACCTACCAACCAGTAAGAATTCCGGCTCTCACAGACCTGTTAGTTTTTCTTTAAGAAGCCCTCCTGTTCTCCACTCATTACCTGTATTAACTGCACCTGTTTGAACTCGTTACCTGTATAAAAGACACCTGTCCACACACTCAATCAAACAGACTCCAAATTCTCCACAATGGCCAAGACCAGAGAGCTGTGAAAGGACATCAGGGATAAAATTGTAGACCTGCACAAGGCTGGGATCGGCTACAGGACAATAGGCAAGCAGCTTGGTAAGAAGGCAACAACTGTTGGCGCAATTATTAGAAAATGGAAGAAGTTCAAGATGACGGTCAATCACCCTCGGTCTGGGGCTCCATGCAAGATCTCACCTCGTGGGGCATCAATGATCATGAGGAAGGTGAGGGATCAGCCCAGAACTACACGGCAGGACCTGGTCAATGACCTGAAAAGAGCTGGGACCACAGTCTCAAAGAAAACCATTAGTAACACACTACGCCGTCATGGATTAAAATCCTGCAGCGCACGCAAGGTCCCCCTGCTCAAGCCAGCGCATGTCCAGGCCTGTCTGAAGTTTGCCAATGACCATCTGGATGATCCAGAGGAGGAATGGGAGAAGGTCATGTGGTCTGATGAGACAAAAATATAGCTTTTTGGTCTAAACTCTACTCGCCGTGTTTGGAGGAAGAAGAAGGATGAGTACCACTCCAAGAACACCATCCCAACCGTGAAGCATGGAGGTGGAAACATCATTCTTTGGGGATGCTTTTCTGCAAAGGGGACAGGACGACTGCACCGTATTGAGGGGAGGATGGACAACGACCCGAAACACACAGCCAGGGCAACTAAGGAGTGGCTCCGTAAGAAGCATCTCAAGGTCCTGGAGTGGCCTAGCCAGTCTCCAGACCTGAATCCAATAGAACATCTTTGGAGGGAGCTGAAAGTCCGTATTGCCCAGCGACAGCCCCGAAACCTGAAGGATCTGGAGAAGGTCTGTATGGAGGAGTGGGCCAAAATCCCTGCTGCAGTGTGTGCAAACCTGGTCAAGACCTACAGGAAACGTATGATCTCTGTAATTGCAAACAAAGGTTTCTGTACCAAATATTAAGTTCTGCTTTTCTGATGTATCAAATACTTATGTCATGCAATAAAATGCAAATTAATTACTTAAAAATCATACAATGTGATTTTCTGGATTTTTGTTTTAATTTAGATTCCGTCTCTCACAGTTGAAGTGTACCTATGATAAAAATTACAGACCTCTACATGCTTTGTAAGTAGGAAAACCTGCAAAATCGGCAGTGTATCAAATACTTGTTCTCCCCACTGTATATACAGTAGCTCACAAAAGTGAGTATACCCGTCACTTTTTTGTAAATATTTGAGTATATCTTTTCATGTGACAACACTGAAGAAATGACACTTTGCTACAATGTAAAGTAGTGAGTGTACAGCTTGTATAACAGTGTAAATTTGCTGTCCCCTCAAAATAACACAACACACATTCATTAATGTCTAAACCGCTGGCAACAAAAGTGAGTACACCCCTAAGTGAAAATGTCCAAATTGGGCCCAAAGTGTCAATATTTTGTGTGGCCACCATCATTTTCCAGCACTGCCTTAACCCTCTTGGGCATGGAGTTCACCAGAGCTTCACAGGTTGCCACTGGAGTCCTCTTCCACTCCTCCATGACGACATCACGGAGCTGGTGGATGTTAGAGACCTTGCACTCCTCCACCTAAACCAGACCTAAACCCTCTTGATGCCCCATAGATGCTCAAGAGGGTTTAGGTCTGGAGACATGCTTGACCAGTCCATCACCTTTACCCTCAGCTTCTTTAGCAAGGCAGTGGTCGTCTTGGAGGTGTGTTTGGGGTCGTTATCATGTTGGAATACTGCCCTGCGGCCCAGTCTCCGAAGGGAGGGGATCATGCTCTGCTTCAGTATGTCACAGTACATGTTGGCATTCATGGTTCCCTCAATGAACTGTAGCTCCCCAGTGCCGGCAGCACTCATGCAGCCCCAGACCATGACACTCCCACCACCATGCTTGACTGTAGGCAAGACACACTTGTCTTTGTACTCCTCACCTGGTTGCCGCCACACACGCTTGACACCATCTGAACCAAATAAGTTTATCTTGGTCTCATCAGACTACAGGACATGGTTCCAGTAATCCATGTCCTTAGTCTGCTTGTCTTCAGCAAACTGTTTGCGGGCTTTCTTGTGCATCATCTTTAGAAGAGGCTTCCTTCTGGGACGACAGCCATGCAGACCAATTTGATGCAGTGTGCGGCATATGGTCTGAGCACTGACAGGCTGACCCCCCATCCCTTCAACCTCTGCGGCAATGCAGGCAGCACTCATACGTCTATTTCCCAAAGACAACCTCTGGATATGACGCTGAGCACGTGCACTCAACTTCTTTGAGGCGAGGCCTGTTCTGAGTGGAACCTGTCCTGTTAAACCGCTGTATGGTCTTGGCCACCGTGCTGCAGCTTAGTTTCAGGGTCTTGGCAATCTTCTTATAGCCCAGGCCATCTTTATGTAGAGCAACAATTCTTTTTTTCAGATCCTCAGAGAGTTCTTTGCCATGAGGTGCCATGTTGAACTTCCAGTGACCAGTATGAGGGAGTGTGAGAGCGATGACACCAAATTTAACACACCTGCTCCCATTCACACCAGAGACCTTGTAACACTAACGAGTCATATGACACCGGGGAGGGAAAATGGCTAATTGGGCCCAATTTGGACATTTTCACTTAGGTGTGTACTCACTTTTGTTGCCAGCGGTTTAGACATGAATGGCTGTGTGTTGAGTTATTTTGAGGGGACAGCATATTTACACTGTTATACAAGCTGTACACTCACTACTTTACATTGTAGCAAAGTGTCATTTCTTCAGTTTTGTCACATGAAAAGATATACTCAAATATTTACAAAAATTTGATGGGTGTACTCACTTTTGTGACATACTGTGTGTATATATATATATATATATATGTATGTATGTATGTATGTATGTATGTATGTATATATATATATATATATATATATATATATATATATATATATATATATATATTTGCGAGAGAAAAAAACATATGGGGGATTGGAAGTGAAGCAGACAATTACATTGATGGAAGTTACAATCTATCTGAAATATTAAAGCTGATCTACCCCCTAAGAAGAAAAAAAATATATATATATATATATATATAATAATAATAAAAAATGTGTGTATGTAAACTTCTGACCCACTGGAATTGTGATACAGTGAATTATAAGTGAAATAATCTGTCTTTAAACAATTGTTGGAAAAATTACTTGTGTCATGCACAAAGTAGATGTCCTAACCGACTTGCCAAAACTATAGTTAGTTAACAAGACATTTGTGGAGTGGTTGAAAAACGAGTTTTAATTGACTCCAACCTAAGTGTATGTAAACTTCAGACTTCAACTGTATCTGTCAGTCTGTCTCTGTATGTCTGCTCGCGCTGTCTGCTCTGCTATGCTTCACTCATCTGCTCCAGGCTGATAACAGGGGAGGGAAGCTGTCAGGAGAACCATGCGGTCACTGTCTTTGAAACCTTTTATCAGGACAGGAACCCCCCTCTCCTCTCCCTAGAAAAGGGTGTGCTATAGGATCCCATTGAGAACGGTCTCAGCGGTGACTCAACTTTGAAGGGATGAAGGGGCAACAGCAGCTCAGAAGATACCTCTGTTTAAAAACATTTGAATATTTGACTGGATATTTCATATCTTTAGTCGTTTATGGTGCAATTATGACTTGCTTTAAATGGTAAGTGATGTACAGTCTTCAGTCTCAGATTATAAACTTTTAGGATAATTAGTAGAGCAAATGTGCCATCTAGTGTTCTGGAAGGGAATTGCACACTTTGAAATTATTACCTCTTTTTGCCAACTAGTAGATACATTTACAATGTAATGTGGTCAAGGGTAACAATTATAAGCTAATGCTTCAAATAACACACTTCCTATGAAGGATTAAGTACAGATAATGTATCATGATTTGATCATATATCCTAAAAACATGTGTAGACAGACATCCTGCCTAAATTCCCTGTCTTCACCTGTACAGGTGATGAGCTCGACAAATGGAGAGCTGAACACTGACGACCCGACGGCAGGACACTCCAACGCTCCCATCACTGCTCCCACTGAGGTGGAGGTGGCTGATGATACAAAGTAAGACAGCTGTCTTTCCCTGGGGTTGACTGGCAGTGGCTCGCAATGCTCTGCTCTGTCTCACTACCTCAGGCAGCCATTGCAAGAAACACACTGTCAAATAGAAATATAGGTTCTGAACCCATTCATTCAAAATACGGTTAGAACAAAACATTGAACAAGTTGCACACATTTAAGGCCTCTAATGTTGAGTTTACATTAAATTTTTAACATTACATTTTTTGATATGCAACATTAATTTACTTTGAAACTAAATTATAGTATATCCTTGCCTGCAGGTGCTGTTGTTTCTTCAAAAGGAGAAAGAGGAAAGCCCTCCAGCGGCACAAGTGAAGAGAAGAACTTGAAACATTCTGGTCACTGTCAGTTTTAAATGGAAGCAACTACACAGATCACCCATCTCTCTTTCCCAATCTCTCTTTCTTTCTCTTTCTCTCTTCTCTCTCTTAGCGCTCCCCTGCTGCAGGCGTGTAAAGGAATGTTGCCCTACAGACTCTGGCTCCTTTAAAAAAAAGAAAATAAAGAAACATTTTAAAGTACCTGCATAATAAAGGGAGATTGAGAGAAAGTTAAAAGCTGTAAAAATGAAACGTGAATACCGTGACGTGAATATATAAAAAAGATACTGTTTGAAACAGTTGTTGTATTCTAGATTCCATACAGGACATTTTCTGTTCAACAGCCATTGATCTGAGGGAACTGTCAATGAGTCGAGTGAATGAAATCTGTTCCATAGAAATAGTCCTTTATTTGTGGGATCAAGGTAAGAAGCAAGAATGAACAATACTAATGGTAACTCTGGAATCACTGAGCGCAACAGGAAGCATTTCATCTAAACCAGAATTGGAGGATTTTTATGCATTTTTTTCTTTCTTTTTTTGTAATTTAATCCTGAATAGTTTTCAAAGTCGACTTCCTGGATTGAAAACAAACTTTTACTTTTATGTTGTAGTGTTTCTGGAAATCTTTCTTTGTTCCTTTTTTTGGCTTTAATTTTGTCAATGTGGACTTTGTAGCACAGTCACTGGCCTCAGGTACTGTGGAAGATTGAAAGGAACCGATATTAAGCTCTTTTCTTATTATTGCACTTTTGAAAGAAAAGGAAAAAAAGTACAGTGGAATTCTAGGTTTGAAATTAACAAACAACAAAACAACAAAATAAAGAGTGATCTAGGAATAGTCCTATAAATGCTTCTATCTGAGTAAGGGCCGAAATGTCAATCTACATGAAACGATGTCTTTCAGTTTTATTTCTTACATCAGAATAATTTACCAGGAAATCATAGTTTGTGCCTTTCCAAGTAAAATGTTTAAAGCTCAAGTAAGTGTCCTGCAATGACATTTTATCTGAACTTGTTCCAAATGTTTCTCATTGACTTTGCGTGTGTGTGTGCTTGTATCTCTCTGAAAGTATTGTCGATGTCTGACATTCCCAGTGTGTGGTCGGTCCTATGTAGAGGTCCTACAGTCTCCACCAATGACTGTATGGGTCTCCACCATCCCATCTACAGTCTATCTCCTCTGCTATGACAATCAAGGGATCTTTACAGTGGGGGTTAACTCTCTATGTGCACTTTCTGGAGAAAAAAAAGAAAGATTTGAAAGCGTGTGCATTGCGAGCTAAGCAATTCTAGTCATTGATGATGGCAGATCAAAGTTAGTAGCAGCAAGTAAGCGTGTCAAGTTTTTTTAAAGACTAAAATGAAGCGACTGCCCAACAATGACTGAAGTTTCCACCAGACGTATTGGATACACAACTGTTTTCTTTTGGAGTTCCTCACTGCATTAGTTACATGCATTTTTGCCTGAACATTGTAATGGTCTATGTTTGTCATGGCCTAACATGAGATGTTACCACAACAACGTGCTCTGTCATCTCTACAGTATATACAGTTGTCCCAAATGGTTTTGATCAGAGATGGCTGCAGTGTGGGGTCACATATACATTAGTTCACAAGCAAATCCCCCTTGATTTTATTACTGTATAGATTTACACTGAGTGTACAAAACATTAGGAACACCTGCTCTTTCCATGACAGACTGACCAGGTGAAGGTGTTCCTAATGTTTTGTACACTCAGTGTATATGCCCTGTTACAAAAGACTGCTTTATCACTATGCCCTTTAAGTAGGATACTGTATGCTTGTGTCATTGTGGTTATGAGTCAAGGCCATGTGATCCAGAATGTATTGTCATGAGATCAGTCATAGATGTTAGCTTTTTCTGGAAAAGTAAACATGAGGGCATTGGGGTAGGGTTGCTAAAAGAACGATGAAAATATCAATAGCAGCTATGTGTGAACTTTTTCATAAACGTCTCACGTTGAAAAGAGCAATAGAGACGTTATTGAAAATGTGTTTCACTGGACTCTAAATGAATGGAGCTAAATGAAGGAAATGGCTCTCTTTGTAAATAGCAATACCCAGGGGTTAAATCATTAGGTTAAATTTGGATTTTTCATGTAGTAGAACTGTCTCCAACGTCGTTGTTTTCCCATGATCATTTTTATCATACATCTATTTGATTTCCACTATGTGCTGTCTGCTATCGAGGGAGGCGATAGAACTCTTTTCCCACTTCCTTTCCTCCTAATTCAACCCCTGGCTATACTGTGAGTGCCCTGGTGATACAATATTCAACAGTGATGCAATATCCAATACGACAGAATGGATATGAGTTTCACCAATACAAGAAGCTTTATACTCATGCCATGACCAATTTGATTCTTAACGGGGCCGATCTCCATTAGGATTATGTGCTTTGAGCTCTGGTGCACCCTTTGCATAGGATTTTTGCAATATGAAAATATCACATTGTAAGCACATGATGCTGTTGATCAACCTGTATGATAGTCTGTATTGGGCATGTATCTTGTAAGGAGTCAGAACTCCGTGTTCTGTTATTTGAGCTATTTTAGTGAAGTGAGAGGAAGTGAAATACAGTATGTAGGCTCATCCTGTTCTATGCTAGATTACTATGAGTAGTCTGCACTTGGATGATATGATATTGGTTTCTACAGGACTGGAAATGCAATTTGGCGAACCATATAACATGCATGGTTTCGTTTTGACAGGCGGCATTGAAGACATGAGCGCTCACTCTAAACATAATTTTGGCAGTGGATAGGAGTCTCTGGCTTGTGGGTGCAGGTTGAAACTCAGCCTGCGTAAAGTGTCTTTTGTTTTAGGATTAGGTCAAACTACCCCCTAGGTCCTATGTTAAATCGTTTCAGCTGATCAAGCAGGTGAATAGTTTAATGTAATCCTAATTTTGCTGGTTTCAATTTTCTAGGAATATTGTTGAGCGTTTTTGGAGTTGCCTAGCGCAATAGAGAAAGTTATCCTTAGCTCGTGTTTTTGGGGATATGAAAGGAACTTATTTTTTAAATCACTGATATTGAAGTGAAATTGTTGGTAATAGTTATGTCTGACCAGTTGCTCTCTAATGAGCGGTATTTACCCCTCTCCAGGCGGTTGTGTTACGCATCTGGTCACTTTTTGAACGACCTTTGCGCGTCATTATGGTTTACCTACCTATTGGTCTACTATCATTCGGTGCTTGGGTTCAAGAGCACATATGCAGGTGTGTTGCTGCTTATAGGTCAAATAGCGGATGGCGTCTCCACGCCCGTTGTCGGTATCGAGTCGGACCGAACAGCTGGATGTGGAGCATATGGCAAAAGAAAAACATGGCATTTAGTCGGTAAGTATGACTTCAATAATGATAATTTGACCCATTTGATTAGCCTGGCTGAACTAAAGTTAAATAACAATTGAGGGGTTACCCAGTAACACTATTGGGTGAGTGCACCTGTGCCATAAAGATCCATACCATTTGGCAGAGGCCATAATTCTATACTTGCATGCAGGTAGGCTAGGTTACACTCTCCATCTGTCGAAAAGCTCTTGAACACATGAGAATAAGAGAACAGTTCCAACAAAAGTTTGAGACAGTAGGCAGATTTCAATTGACCCACGTTTATTAGACAAAAGAAAAGTTCGCAATAACAAAACAAATAATTGCGAGATGTGTAGGCCTAATGGAAACCGCAGAGAGGATACGTTTTCTAAAGATCGACAATATTTGTAACTGTTAGACGGGTGTATTTTAATTTGGTCGAACTTTATTGCGACAAATGATGATGGAAACGGGTGTTTTTCGAATAAATGATTGTCGAATACTTTTGAAGGTACACGGGTGCACGTGATGTCATCACGTAACTATAACCTCCAATCCACATTTAATTTTAAACGCCTACTGCTTGCAAAATATTTTTTTTAAACTATCAAAATTATGTTTCTTTGCAGGACAAGGATTTTCCTGACTTTCAAGAATTCCTGAATTGCTTGGCCTTGCTTTTCAGTTTGGCTGGCAAGTTTCACCATGCAATTATTTCAGATCTACAGGAGTGCAAGTGTCTCCAAGACACGGACCCTGGCGATATGTATATGGAAAATATTAGTAAATTATTGCATTCTAACCATGTTGGCTTTCGCGGCCTACCTGAAACATGAAACAGATCGGTGGGAGGCATACAGTCTGTCGCCAATTTATTAATGCGCAATTTGTTTAAATGGGTAATAGAAACAATTCAACCACTTCATTTTTATTGGACACTAGGTTTTTGGAAATGATGCAGGGAATTGTTGCATCTATTTTCTATGCGAACTTTATAAATGTAGATAAAGAAATCACTGGGCAAGTTAATGAAAATATAGCTACTGTTGGGATCATCTCACTACTGCCACCAACGTAGTATTTGAGGGGGAACAGGCAGGGCGGGGCTTGGACTTGAACCAGCAACTCTCTGTGAGTGCTCCTCAAGGAGCAAGGACAGAGTTGTACCTAATAAGGGTGCCCAGCTTTAGGTTTTGAAATGTCCCACACATTGGACCATTATTAATGTAATTATGAAATAATCCCAGTAAGCCTACATATAGGGCGGCAGTAACTGAAATGTCGCTGGTTCAAATCCCTGAGCAGACTAGATGAAACATCTGTTGATGTGCTCTTGAGCAAGGAACTTAACCCTAATTGCTTGTGTAAGTCACTCTGGATAAGAGCGTCTGCTAAATGTAAAAAAAAAAAAATCATAATGTACAGGATTATACTGTATTATAGAATCCGTCAATTAACTAATAATCGTATAATATCTAGACCAGCTGATTAAACATCATTACAACAGGCTCATGAGACAAGGGTTTCTTTGTCCTGTGGCCTGTCCACATTTCTCTGTATTGATAGTTCCATGCATGACTAACTCTCATAGGCTGGATAGTTTGTTTACCCTGACCTCATCCCTCATATCCCTCCACCCTTACAGGCACTATCAGTGTACTTATCTCCTTTCCCTTCATCTTTAACCCGTGTCTGGGATGTGGTGACAACACTCCACAGTGGGTGGGGCTCACCTATTTCACCCCCTTCATCATCATCTTCCAGTTTGGCTGGGCCGCTACCCAGATCTCCCACCTGTCACTCATCCCAGAGCTGGTGTCCAGTGAGCATGCCAAGGTGGAGCTCACTGCCTACAGGTGAGCAGAATAGGCTACTTTAGCAGGAGGTAAACAGCAAGCTAGTGAGGTGATTCTTAACTCCCTAAATAAAAACATGTATGAGGAAATCAGTTGAAAGTGAAAAAAACAAGGTACTGTACCACAGGAGGCTGCTGAGGGGAGAATGTCTCATAATAATGTCCAGAATGCTGCAAATGGAATGCCATCAAACTCCTGCAAACCATGTGTTTGATACCATTCCACTCATTCCACTTCAGTCATTACCACGAGCCCGTTCTCCCCAATTAAGGTGCTACCTTACCTCCTGTATTGACTGTAAGTCGCTTTGGATAAAAGCGTCTGCTAAATGGCTTATTATTATTATTATTATTACATAGTCTAATTACAGTGGGGGAAAAAAGTATTTAGTCAGCCACCAATTGTGCAAGTTCTCCCACTTAAAAAGATGAGAGGCCTGTAATTTTCATCATAGGTACACGTCAACTATGACAGACAAAATTAGGAAAAAAAATCCAGAAAATCACATTGTAGGATTTTAATGAATTTATTTGCAAATTATGGTGGAAAATAAGTATTTGGTCAATAACAAAAGTTTCTCAATACTTTGTTATATACCCTTTGTTGGCAATGACACAGGTCAAACGTTTTCTGTAAGTCTTCACAAGGTTTTCACACACTGTTGCTGGTATTTTGGCCCATTCCTCCATGCAGATCTCCTCTAGAGCGGTGATGTTTTGGGGCTGTCGCTGGGCAACACAGACTTTCGACTCCCTCCAAAGATTTTCTATGGGGTTGAGATCTGGAGACTGGCTAGGCCACTCCAGGACCTTGAAATGCTTCTTACGAAGCCACTCCTTCGTTGCCCGGGCGGTGTGTTTGGGATCATTGTCATGCTGAAAGACCCAGCCACGTTTCATCTTCAATGCCCTTGCTGATGGAAGGAGGTTTTCACTCAAAATCTCACGATACATGGCCCCATTCATTCTTTCCTTTACATGGATCAGTCGTCCTGGTCCCTTTGCAGAAAAACAGCCCCAAAGCATGATGTTTCCACCCCCATGCTTCACAGTAGTTATGGTGTTATTTGGATGCAACTCAGCATTCTTTGTCCTCCAAACACGACGAGTTGAGTTTTTACCAAAAAGTTCTATTTTGGTTTCATCTGACCATATGATATTCTCCCAATCCTCTTCTGGATCATCCAAATGCACTCTAGCAAACTTCAGACGGGCCTGGAGCCCCAGATCGAGGGAGATTATCAGTGGTCTTGTATGTCTTCCATTTCCTAATAATTGCTCCCACAGTTGATTTCTTCAAACCAAGCTGCTTACCTATTGCAGATTCAGTCTTCCCAGCCTGGTGCAGGTCTACAATTTTGTTTCTGGTGTCCTTTGACAGCTCTTTGGTCTTGGCCATAGTGGAGTTTGGAGTGTGACTGTTTGAGGTTGTGGACAGGTGTCTTTTATACTGATAACAAGTTCAAACAGGTGCCATTAATACAGGTAACGAGTGGAGGACAGAGGTGCCTCTTAAAGAAGAAGTTACAGGTCTGTGAGAGCCAGAAATCTTGCTTGTTTGTAGGTGACCAAATACTTATTTCCCACCATAATTTGCAAATAAATTCATAAAAAATCCTACAATGTGATTTTCTGGATTTTGTTCTTCTCAATTTGTCTGTCATAGTTGACGTGTACCTATGATGAAAATTACAGGCCTCTCTCATCTTTTTAAGTGGGAGAACTTGCACAATTGGTGGCTGACTAAATACTTTTTCCCCCCACTGTATTTGTGATATCTTCTGATGTAGTTTTACAACCTTGTACCATCTCTCTCACTGTGTAGGTATGCGTTCACGGTGGTGGCCAATATTACAGTGTATGCTGTGACCTGGTTACTCTTTCACTTCCAGTCCCAGCAGACTGGAGATCCCTCTGTCACTGACAGCTTGGGCATTGTTGACATCCCCATATTCAGGGTAAGAGCTGCCCTTCCTGACCTCACTGTTTTACAAACGGTACTCTGGTACAATGCAGTTGAAATGGGAAGTCCAATTAGTCCTCAAGCACACATGGGTGTTCAGATTGTTGTTACAGTCATGATGGCTGAATGTAGTATTTGTACCAGTCTTTTTAACAAACATTCTACTCTTTGTCACTCCTGTCATTTTCCAAAGACAGGAGTGGCAAGGTGAAAAATTTTAGCTAAAAAGACTGGTACCCAGGCTACCCACTGGGCACACACTGGTTGAATCAACGTTGTTTCCACGTCATTTCAATGAAATTACATTGAACCAACGTGGAATAGACGTTGAATTGACGTCTGTGCCCAATGGGTAGGCTGACCTCGATTGTAATCCTGGATATTACTTTATCCAGTACTCTACCGATTGGGACATTTTCAAAGATGAAAACGCCAACCTTCACGATTTACACAGACAGGGTCACATTTTACATCAGTGTTTGTGAGGAAAACTGCATTCCAACCAGCACTTTTGTCAAATTCAACAACGACAAACCCTGGTTCATGCTGAACTCCAAGCCCTGCACTTAGCCAAAGAGGTGGCACATAGGAGTAACAACAAAGACAACTATAGAACTGCTAAACAGCTGCTCAACAAGGGGATTAAAGTGGCAAAAAGTTGTTTCAAGGAGCGCCACCAACGACTGCTCGTCTGTCTGGAAGGGTCTCTGGCAGATCACAAACTACAAACGGGTTCTACTGTCGTTTTGAAACACAAAGTGCCCTCAGCCATCAATAGATCTTGCCCCTCAGTTGACAACACCCTCAGCCATCATGACTATACCCCCCCTCCGGCCACAGACATGTGACTAACAGAAATTGAATAATGTGTCCCTGAACAAAGGGGGGGTCAAAATCAAAAGTAACAGTCAGTATCTGGTGTGGCCACCAGCTGCATTAAGTACTGCAGTGCATCTCCTCCTCATGGACTGCACCAGATTTGCCGGTTCTTGCTGTGAGATGTTACCCCACTCTTCCACCAAGGCACCTGCAAGTTCCCTGACATTTCTGCGGGGAATGGCCCTAGCCCTCACCCTCCAATCCAACAGGTCCCAGATGTGCTCAATGGGATTGAGATCCGGGCTCTTCGCTGGCCATGGCAGAACACTGACATTCCTGTCTTGCAGGAAATCACGCACAGAACGAGCAGTATGGCTGGTGGCATTGTCATGCTGGAGGGTCATGTCAGGATGAGCCTGCATGAAGGGTACCACATGAGGGAGGAGGATGTCTTCCCTGTAACACACAGCGTTGAGATTGCCTGCAATGACAACAAGCTCAGTCCGATGATGCTGTGACACACTGCCTCAGACCATGACGGACCCTCCACCTCCAAATCGATCCTGCTCCAGAATACAGGCCTCGGTGTAACGCTCATTCCTTCGACGATAAACGCAAATCCAACCATCACCCCTGGTGAGACAAAACCGTGACTTGTCAGTGAAGAGCACTTTTTGCCAGTCCTTTCTGGTCCAGCGACGGTGGGTTTGTGCCCGTTGTTGCCGGTGATGTCTGGTGAGGACCTGCCTTACAACAGGCCTACAAGCCCTCAGTCCAGCCTCTCTCAGCCTATTGCGGACAGTCTGAGCACTGATGGAGGGATTGTGCGTTCCTGGTGTAACTCGGGCAGTTGTTGTTGCCATCCTGTACCTGTCCCGCAGGTGTGATGTTCGGATGTACCGATCCTGCGAGGACAATCAGCTGTCCGTCTTGTCTCCCTGTAGCGCTGTCTTAGGCGTCTCACAGTACGGACATTGCAATTTATTGCCCTGGCCACATCTGCAGTCCTCATGCCTCCTTGCAGCATGCCTAAGGCACGTTCACGCAGATGAGCAGGGACCCTGGGCATCTTTCTTTTGGTGTTTTTCAGAGTCAGTAGAAAGGCCTCTTTTAGTGTCCTAAGTTTTCATAACTGTGACCTTAACTGCCTACCGTCTGTAAGCTGTTAGTGTCTTAACGACCGTTCCACAGGTGCATGTTCATTAATTGTTTATGGTTCATTGAACAAGCATGGGAAACAGTGTTTAAACACTTTACAATGAAGATCTGTGAAGTTATTTGGATTTTTACGAATTATCTTTGAATGACAGGGTCCTGAAAAGGGGACGTTTCTTTTTTGCTGAGTTTACAGTTGAAGTCTGAAGTTTACATACACCTTAGCCAAATACATTTAAACTCAGTTTTTAGGTCAGTTAGGATCACCACTTTATTTTAAGAATGTGAAATGTCAGAGTAATAGTAGAGAGAATGATTTATTTCAGCTTTTATTTATTTCATCACATTCCCAGTGGGTCAGAAGTTTACATACACTCAATTAGTATTTGGTACCATTGCCTTTGTATTTGGTAGCATTGTTTAACTTGGGTCAAATGTTTTGTGTAGCTTTCTACAAGCTTCCCACAATAAGTTGGGTGAATTTTGTCCCATTCCTCCTAACAGAGCTGGTGTAACTGAGTCAGGTTTGTAGGCCTCCTTGCTCGCACACGCTTTTTCAGTTCTGCCCACAAATGTTCTATAGGATTGAGGTCAGGGCTTTGTGATGGCCACTCCAATAACTTGACTTTGTTGTCCTTAAGCCATTTTGCCACAACTTTGGAAGCATGCTTGGGGTCATTGTCCATTTGGAAGACCCATTTGCGACCAAGCTTTAACTTCCTGACTGATGTCTTGAGATGTTGCTTCAATATATCCACATAATTTTCCTTCCTCATGATACCATCTATTTTGTGAAGTGCACAAGTCCCTCCTGCAGGAAAGCACCCCCACAGCATGATGCTGCCACCCCCGTGCTTCACGATTGGGATGGTGATCTTCAGCTTGCAAGGATCCCCCTTTTTCCTCCAAACATAACGATGGTCATTATGGCCAAACAGTTCTATTTTTGTTTCATCAGACCAGAGGACATTTCTCCAAAAAGTACGATCTTTGTCCCCATGTGCAGTTGCAAACCGTAGTTTGGCTTTTTTATGGCGTTTTTGGAGCAGTGGCTTCTTCCTTGCTGAGCGGCCTTTCAGGTTATGTCGATATAGGACTTGTCTTACTGTGGATATATATACTTTTGTACCTGTTTCCTCCAGCATCTTCACAAAGTCCTTTGCTGTTGTTCTGGGATTGATTTGCACTTTTCGCACCAAAGTACGTTCATCTCTAGGAGACAGAACGTGTCTCCTTCCTGGCTGATTTCTTTTGATTTTCCCATGATGTCAAGTAAAGAGGCACTGAGTTTGAAGGTAGGCCTTGAAATACATCCACAGGTAGACCTCCAATTGACTCAAATGATGTCAATTAGCCTATCAGAAGCTTCTAAAGCCATTACATATTTTTCTGGAATTTTCCAAGCTGTGTGAAGGCACAGTCAACTTCTGACCTACTGGAATTGTGATACAGTGAATCTGTCTGTAAACAATTGTTGGAAAAATTACTTGTGTCATGCACAAAGTAGATGTCCTAACCGACTTGCCAAAACTATAGTTTGTTAACACGAAATTTGTGGAGTGATTGAAAAACAAGTTTGAATGACTCCAACCTAAGTGTATGTAAACTTCCAACTTCAACTGTATATACATATGTGTGTGTGTTTATTTATATATATATATGTGTGTGTGTGTGTGTGTGTGTGTAAATATATATATATATATATATATATATATATATATATATATACACACACACACACTACTGTTCAAAAGTTTGGGGTCACTTAGAAATGTCCTTGTTTTCGAAAGAAAAGCAATTTTTTTGTACATTTAAAAGAACATCAAATTGATCAGAAATACAGTGTAGACATTGTTAATGTTGTAAATGGCTATTGTAGCTGGAAATGGCTGATTTTTTTATGGAATATCTACATAGGCGTACAGAGGCCCATTATCAGCAACCATCAGTCCTGTGTTCCAATGGCACGTTATGTTTGCTAATCCAAGTTTATCATTTTAAAAGGCTAATTGATTATTAAACCCTTTTGCAATTATGTTAGCACAGCTGAAAACTGTTGCGCTGATTAAAGAAGCAATAAAACTGGCCTTCTTGAGACTAGTTGAGTATCTGGAGCATCAGCAATTGTGGGTTCGATTACAGGCTCAAAATGGCCAGAAACAAAGAACTTTCTTCTGAAACTCGTCAGTCTATTCCTGTTCTGAGAAATGAAGGCTTTTCCATGCGAGGAATTGCCAAGAAACTGAAGATCTAGTACAACGCTGTGTAGTACTCCCTTCACAGAACAGCGGAAACTGGCTCTAACCAGAATAGAAAGAGGAGTGGGAGGCCCCGGTGCACAACTGAGCTAGAGGACAAATACATTAGTGTCTAGTTTGAGAAACAGATGCCTCACAGGTCCTCAACTGGCAGCTTCATTAAATAGTACCCGCAAAACACCAGTCTCAACGTCAACAGTGAATAGGCGACTCCGGGATGTGACCTTCTGTATATTGTTTCCCTCTGTCTGTCTGTCTGTCTGTCTGTGTCTCTCTCTCTCTCTTTTCTCTCTGTCTGTCTGTGTCTCTCTCTCTCTTGTCTTTCTGTCTCTCTCTCTCGCTCTCCTCTCCTCCTGTCTCCTGCCATCAGGACCTGTCCCTCATTGTGCTGGGGATCGGGGCAGTGTTTTCTTTCGTCTTCCACCTGGGCACCCGAGAAAGGGCTCCTCACAGGGAAGAGCCAGGCTCGCAGAACGACGAGAGTCAACCCCTGATCTCCCTAAATCCCCATAATGCCATACCCCAATCTCTCCTCCAATGGAAACATTGGTTGAAGGAGCCTTCATTTTACCAGGTCTCTCTCTAATCTGAGTGTGTATAATATAAATTACCTTTAGGTCTCGTGGAGGTGTATTTGAAACTGTAAACCTGCTTCTTTTGGTCCAGGTTGCTTTTCTGTACATGTGCACCAGGTTGATAGTCAACTTGTCCCAGACCTACATCTCCATGTATCTCATCAACTCCTTATTGCTACCAAAGGTATGGCTACATCCATAGAATAAATTATAATGGTGCCATTTATAACTGTTCCTCAGAATCCTTTGTGCTTGTGAAACTTGCTGACTGTGTAGTAATGTTGGGCTCATTTCCTTCTCCTTTTCCAGAACTTCATCGCCACCATTCCTTTAGTGATGTATGTCAGTGGGTTTGTGTGTTCTCTGGTCATGAAGCCAATCAGCAAGCTTGTAGGCATTAGTGTGAGTTCTTTTGTCTGTGGTTTTTAAACTGTCCGAAAAATCTTATAAAAAGCCCCAGTATTAAGTTTCTTGCATACACATTTTTTTATTTTGTAATTTCCCCTCTCCTTAGATGACCTATTTGCTAGGCCTTGTGCTGATCCTGGGGTTTTCCTCCTGGGTGTTGGTGGGCATGAACATAGGGAGGCTGATCTATGGAGCTGCTGTACTGCTGGGTGCAGGCTCTGCCACCATCCTGGTCATGTCACTCTCCATGACGGCCAAACTGATTGGAGAACAGACGGTAGGAACACCCTGTATGTTTTAGATAGATTTTCCTCCACTGTTGTCATGACGTTTCTCACCATGACCATGTCAAAGGAATTAACTGTGACCTTGTTCGGTAGCAAAGTGGGGCCTTTGTGTACGGGGCGATGAGCTTCACAGATAAGGTGGCCAATGGCATTGGTGTCATCATAATCCAGAGTTTGCATCCCTGCATGTGAGTATGGACCAGACTGGGATCTGTTCTTCTAACTATCACTTCTTTAGGGCAACCAGGGTACAGCTTTGAGTAACTGTGTCGCTCTTGGTTGTATACAGTTCACAAGACAGCTGTCCAGACAGTGTGTGGTTCTATCGTGATGTCATGGTGATTGTGACTGGGGGTGTGGCCTTAGCAGCAGCAATTTCCCTATGCACCCTTCTTATCTGGCCTATTAGGATCCGACAACGTAAGTGTCCAAATCAGTTGTTGGTCATGTTCCGCTGCTCAGACATTGCTGAAGCATGCCAGATCTAATGCCTGGATGGGTATTTCACCTATCAAGGAACCGCATCATATTTTATAGCAACCTGGTGACGGCGGCACAGTTGATGACGTGGCACGCAACCATTGGTTGATGCGTGCAACATCTGAGCAGGGGAACGTGGCCGTTATCTGTGAGTGTGTGTGTGCAGTATCTGGTTATTGGGTTGTGAGAGTATCATCTTGGCGGAGGGTATGGTGGTGGTGGTGGTGTTGTAACTTACTGCTCTGTATTCCAGTCTCACAGGAAAATCAGTTAAACGGTGGGAGATCTGCTCTATAGACAGGTGAAGTTTTTTGGTGATCAAATTATTTTTGACAGGTGAAGGGTTAAAACCAGTCCGCATGCAGCTTGAAGGTATTTAGATAATATGCTTAGCTCTTTATTCTTGTAAGCTTGCGCTACTAATTCCAGAAATATTTTGACTTGGAATTTGTATTTGCTAATTACAAAGAAGGTCTTTGCCAAACTTTTTTTTACGCCATAAGATAAAGCCACGCCTCCATCTAGTGGAAGAATTATGAACTACACCTCAGTTTGATATGGGCCTTGCACACAACAGCACTCATACATGGGCACACTGGTTGAAAATATCCTACTATAATGGACTAGCTATGTATTTCCGTTTCCATTGTTCTCTCCTCATAGGTTTCCTCAGTACTTCTGTCCAGATGGAGGCAGAAGACAGAGAATGAGACACAGCAGTCAACTGAAGATCAGAGATTCATTACACTGATTAATCTGTGGGGAAAACAGTGTGCCTGTTCACAGGACAAAGACCAGGAGACTTTCAGTATACCCATTGGAGATGCAACAGGAACTTTACAGCAAGACTTTAACACCCCCATATCTATCTATACCTTTTCATAAGAGATTTAGATGTAATGCATTTATGAGGAATTTATGGAATTTATGGGGAGAAATCAATAAATGGGTACAATATTCTACTTTATAATAATACTGCATACTGTAGGCCTACTTACACAGACATGTAAATGTTTTACACTTAAAAGGGAGTCACTTCTTTCTCCCTGGCTTTTTTAAGGGGAAAATGTTTCTTCCATAGGTGTTATGAAATAATACACAATAACAGGGTGTGTGTGTGTGTGTGTTGTCTATTGTCTCCATTATTTCCTTCAGATTTTCATTGTACAGATTTTGAAATTATATCAGTCATGCAGAAATGTAAACTGGTTTTGGATGATTATTTTCTGATTTAAATTGTTAAAATGTCTTGTTGCCTTTAAAGATTTTGAGAGCTTTTGGACAAGTTTGCCTGATGCATGGTTGACGAAATGACCACAATGCCTAGTTTCTGATGAAAATGCAGATGAGTTATCTCATAGGAATAAACATTTACATCTCACTCACATCTTCACTGAGAGAGATGAGACAATTCATCATCAGTACAGTTGCATACTATTTTCCACAGGTGGGCTCCCTGGGTAGCAATCGCAATTGACCACATTGCAGGTTGGATTTATGTGGTTGTTACGGTTGAATTTAATGTTGTGAGTTCCACATTGTAACCATTTGGTGAGTACAGTCAGTTGAGTCCAAAGGTTGTTATGAAATATAATCAAGAGAAACAAAGAGAGAAAAGGTCCTTTCATTATTGTCTGTGAGATGGGCTTGTTGCTCAGCCTACAGCCGTCTAACTGATTTCCCAAAGCGCTGTTTAGAGATGCGGTCTTGGGTCATTTGGAGGGTGGGCGTCATCACTGCTTGTTAGTTGAACCACTAATTGGAGTCTGTGCTGGCAATTGGTGGGAGGCGGGAGCGGTAGTAAACTGAGTGATCCCCTCAGGGGCTATAGATTTGGAACAGTGTTGTCAAAGGCTTGTTCAGGACTGACACCCTTCCTTCTCTGTTTTCATATTTGTCCATATGACAAAGTTATTATTTAGATAACATTTTCGTTGTCCCATTTAAATGTTATACTGTATATCAAGATATTCTACACCACCAGTTGCTTCATCAGTTGTTTTTTCAGTAGTTTGTTTGGAAAATGAACCACCTCCTACCAAGAAGGCACATATCACACAGTCATTTACTTGTCAACTGTAGACCTACTTGTCAACTACAGCTATCATGCTTCCTTCAGGAGGAATATTTAATCAGTGGATAAATCCCATTAAATCTGAGCTCTTTCTCATTAATGTGTCAGATTGACCATAAACCTCCCCCCACACACCATCTAATTAGTGTGCAAAACACACAGATACATACCTCCAATGGAGTTCGAGGGAGTCAGAAGAACAAACAGATTTTGTTCAGTGTTAACTGATGAATGTAAACAGCAGAAATTCCCCCAATGTGTTGTCTGCGATATAACTATAAGTGCTTGGTGAGCAATTGTATAAATAAGGAGGTTGATTTTAGGATAGCAGCATGTTAGAAATTGAATTAGGCCAACCCATCTATTCTTGATCATAAGAACTACTGGTGTCCATTGTTCCAATGTCAATACTATGTCCCTTTTGTGCTCTGTGGCCCCTCGAAGCTATCAAATTCTCTTAAACATATGTAATTATAGCCAACGTATCGGTGCCTGAAGATATTTCATGGCTTAAAACAGCAACTTGACATTTACATTAGTTCTTGTGTCCCAACATAACTGTGGCAAGTCATGACAGCTGCTTGAGTTCGGCTCTTGGATCTGTGACATACTGACCTATTCCTGTGTGATTGCCCTGCTGCTTTGAGTTGAGTAACTTGAGTTGAATTTGTTTTGCAATGAAAGACAATGCATTGGACAGTGGACATATACTGCCCTACAAAGGCAAAGTGCAGTAACTACATAAAAATTTAACTGCAAATTTCTTTTTTTCATGACATATTCTGATCGACTGGCTTGTTCTTCTCAATTATTGAAATTACAGCCATTCCATGTATTTGAACTATTCAAGAGCTGTTACACCTGATTCAAATTTTCAACCGATTATCAAGCCCTTGATTAGGTGAAACAGTTAAGGAGACGTTTGACTGGCCTAAACCACAGACTACTGTGGATGAAACATATACACTCACTGGCTAGTTTATTAGGTACACCCATCAAGTACCCGGTCAGACCCCCCTTTGCCTCCAGAACAGCCTGAATTATTCGGGGCATTCTACAAGGTGTTGGAAACGTTCCACGGGGATGCAGATTGGACGGTTGTACGTTCATGCTGCGAACAGCCGGTTCCATCTCATCCCAAAGATGCTCTATTGGGTTGAGGTCTGGGGACTGCGCAGGAAACTCAAGTAAACTGAACGCACTGTCATGTTCCAGGCAATGTTTTCCACTCCTAAACTGTCCAGTGTTGGTGATCGCGAGCCCACTGGAGCTGCTTCTTCTTGTTTTTAGTGGAACCCAGTGTGGTCGTCTGCTGCAATAGCCCATCTGTGACAAGGATCGATGAGTTGTGCATTCCGAGATGCCTTTCTGCACACCACTGTTGTACTGCGTCGTTATTTGTCTATTTGTGACCTGCCTGTTAGCCTGCATGACTCTTTCCATTCTCTTTCGACCTCTCTCACCAACAAGCTGTTTTTGCCCACAGGACTGCCGCTGACTGGATGGTTTTTGTTTGTCGCACCCTTCTCGGTAAACCCTAGACACTGTCGTGCATGAAAACCCCAAGAGGGTGGCCGTTTCTGAGATACTGGATCCTGCGGGACTGGCACCGACAATCATACCACGTTCAAAATCGCTTAGGTCACTCGTTTTGCCCATTCTAACATTCAATCGAAACAGTAACTGAATGCCTTGATGCCTGTTTGCCTGCTTTATATAGCAAGCCATGGCAACTTGACTCTGTCTTTAGGAGAGATCAATTTTCGTGAAGGGGGTGGTGTACCTAATAAACTGGCATGTGAGTGTATCTTTTTTATTATGTACTTTTTATATTTTACATAGAAACAGGAAGACAATGCTGAAGTTAACTCATTAGTGGTGTGATGGGTGCAACAAGGCACTCAGGTCATGTGTTGCAGTCAAAATGTGGATGATTGACGGCTCAAATGAGACCAACGAGACAGAGCGCTCACTCATTCGATTGAATATAGAGCATCACGAAACTCCCGCCAACTTGAAAGTCGACTGTAGGCATACACAGGTGAGATAGCTAGCTAGCCATGAAGATAAAGTGGTCTACTATTTGCCAGTCATTGACAAGAACATTGCTAATTGCAAATAAATTGAAGATGAAACGCTATTTCAACAGGAAAACGTATTTGTTTCAAACTAGCTAAGTAACCAAAAAAGTAGACTACAAAGGTGATGAAGGCTGCAGAAGTGCTAGCTAGCTAACTGTTATCTGTTGCTTATTTAGCTAGCTCATTTAGCTAGTCTCATTCAAACACGTTAGAACACATAATTATGTCGTAGCAGAATGTCAATGCATTTGGACTTCAAGTAGGCTTATGTAGCCAGTAGTCTACTAGCTATGTTTGTAATGGCAGGAACGCCCTGGACCAGAGCTATTGCCTGCCTCTTGACAGACCTGACCTGCTAAGTAGCCTACTAGCCTACAGTAGGCCTATGTTGACTCAGATACTGGTTTTGTGTTTTCTTTACAGTTGAAGACTACTGAGGGGTCTATTGATGTCTACTCACTGCTGGACAATAATAAGTATTTTCTGGTGAGTTATGCAGGTTGTTTGTTGAGTGCCTGATTGAATCGGGTTACAATGGTTACATTTGTGAGTCATGGAATGATGCCTTTTTTGTGGGCACAACAATTTCTCAACTTTTAGCCTTCCTTTTGAAACTATTATTATTTTTATGGTTGGGGAAAAATCTGTTTATGGTATGGAAGAGTGTTGCCACAATATTACCACACTGTCCTGATGAAACTCTGAGAAGTTGAGAGAA